TCTAGAAGCAATGCTCTTAGGACATGATCAGCTTGTAAGAATAGAATGGATAGCAGTATTCATCTATAGAAATCACGAGAAATGTACTATTGTCATCTTAATTGATGTGCTTTGTGATACATGAGAATTGTAATGGTATCAAAAAATGCTTGGTTTCCCTAAGAGTATTTTGAGTTACCAGTCTGTTAAATGGATCATTCATTTCGGTTGTGCTGCTCACGATTCCAAATGTGCCGTTTTGCAAATTGAATTATTAATTAGTTTTCCTTATCATAAATTCAATGTGTTATTTTTGGGATTAATTGATTCATTGCACTTTGTGTGAAATTGAGCTGATAGTTGAGGTTCTAGGAGGACAAGTATTATCATTTTAACTGGTATTTTTCACTTGATGGTGTGCTTGTCGCGTGTTTTTTTGTATGCGATCCACCAGGCGTCTCATTCCTCCGCATCACATTGCCCAACCCCCTGGTGCTATTTCGTCTGTCCATCGTCCCAGTGACTCATGTGATACCAAACGGAGGCCTGTCATACCTCTGATTTAACGGTCTGGTCGATGTTCTGGTCTTAACTCCGGTTTGGTTTCCTTATCGGGTCCCAATGACCAGCGGAATGAGGGAATCGCACAACCCTGGTCCTAACTATTACCATTTCCAGAGATGTGAGCTCACCCTACAGCCAATAACCTCACACCAGCTGACTCAGACAGAACAAAAGGTTACCCACACACAATGCACAATTATATTGTGTATAACAAGATACATGGGAAATGTAAAAGGGATCAAAACTGTAGGCGGCTGGATCAGAATATCAATAAATGTTAAGAGAGACATGTGAAAAACATTGGTAATTAGTTGTTTGTGGCTTTCATTCTTTCTGGCTACGGATACTACATTTTTCCCCCTTTCGGAATTATCCATCTGCCGTGTCATATGATATATGACGAGGGTTGGTCCCTATCCCACTGTTTTTAACCTTGGGTATTTCCTCGTGTATCCAGTTGGCCACATGTTTGGCTGCGACCGGCTATCCTAGTAATGAGAATGCGCCCAGCATGATGTCCATTGGAAGTTGACTCACTTGCTTGTTATTTTTTGCAGCCTGTGTGAGTTTATGACGTAGGTGATTATCATTTCTGACTAGCATCTAGTTTCCCACGTCAACTTCATACGCTACGTTGCCTCTGGCCTTCATGATTTCTCCTCCCTACCAATGTGCCTTACCATCTTTGAAAGATTTAACGTAGACAGCATCAGCTGATTTTTGTGTTACGGGTTCGGCCCCTTGTTTTTTATTAGGTTGAAACTCCACATTTATGTTTCTGCTTCCTTAGTTCACCTTGAGAAACAATGTCTTGAACAACTCGGAGTTTGCGACCGGGAAATGCTTTTGTAGGTAGAATATGATTCGACAGTAAGGAGTACCGTGTGGATTTGTATGCCAACAAGAGATTTTGAAGTTTTTCCTCCCCCTGTAGTTGCAACAAGGCTCTTTTGAACGTTTCAACTAAGAGTTCATCTTGACCACAAGACTGAAGATGAGCCAGTTGTATAGGAATATGATTTACTACACTTGCTTTACAAAAATCTGACATTTCATGAGATACATTGAATATTCCCATTTAGAAGAAAGACTGATTGAGCGAAGAAATATATTCCTTTCCAATTAGGTCTTCATCTTGGGCTCTACACTAGTATATACGCCTACAATTCAATCAAAATACCAATCAAGTGGTGGCCGGGTTGGTGAACAATGTTTACAGATTTTAAGTAAGTCATGAAGATGATAAGTTTCGGATATTAAGATGCAAATAATCAATAGACTGACTAGAATTGGTAACATGAAGCAAGTTATTCTTAGGTAATTTGCACAGTAACTGGTAGAGTGAATGAAGTGATTCTTGTCGAGTGTTTCAGTCATAAACAATAAATATAAATAATTACATGATAATAAGAAAATAAATGAATATTGGTAGAGGTGTACAAAGTAATACTAGAAGTTACATCATGTTGACGTTCACGTTAATGAAAGTGATTGAACAAACTTTTTTGTACACAAATATTAGGTTTGTAAAGGTAAGTTGCAATCATCTTTGCTATGTGAGGTGAGCTATTGCATAATCCATGCGGTAAATTAATTGGTGTGATGAATAATTTCGAATGCTTTTCTAGCATCCATTTGATGTCCCGTGTCAACTAGGTGTGCAAGTATGGAGCTCTTCATTATACTAGTTTGTCGCTTGCTCAACCATGATGGATGGTGCCCAAAAACTCGACGATGGACCTGCCTCATTGTACGTCCAACATAACTAGCTCTACAGGAGCAGTTGAATTGATAAATGGAAGTGGCAAAATCAGGCAGTTTGTCTTTATTTCTTGCACCTAGAATCACGCGGTTGTAGATGGGACATAATTTAGCGGTTAGGAATACTCTTTGCAAAACTTTTTCTATGAGTTGTCTGATGATCTCACTGACAGCGTCACCATTAAATTCAGCGTCAAGAAGATTTGTTTCTTAGGAACTGTAAGAGTTCTTGTCTTAACCTTCGTAACATTTATATACTTAGTTACAAGCTTCCCTGGATAACCATTCCTACTAAGCAGATCACAAATGGTGACGAGCTCTTCCTCTACAGCATCATCTGAGCAAATAGCTGTGGCACGGTATGCTAGGCATTTCACCAGGTTCCTTTGGTATAGGAGGGGTACGGCACTAAAGAAGCGTGTGTATCGGCCTGTCGACATTGACTTTCTACATACACTCCATTTCAGAGTTCCATCTAACCTTATCCGCAGAATATCAGGAAATGGGATACTATCATTTTGCTCCTCTTCTATTGCGAAGTTGATTGCCATATGAAAACTAGTGAACTTAATGAAAACAATATTTTTATCAGTCTAACTTTTGAGAACTATAAAGGCATCATCCAAGTGACGACAATATAATTCTAACCGGCTAAGAGTTTTGTTCAGCGGACTATTCTCTAGTTTTGCCAGAAAAGAACCTAATAAGATTGGGTCAAGGGGGTGACCCCATAGCCACACCATCAGATTACCTGTAGAGTTCATTGTTGAAAAGGAATTGTGTATTCATCGTACACTTCTGAAGTAGTTCTTCTAATATGGAGACTGGAATACATATTGCAATGCCGTGCTTCGTGAGTTCGTTGCAAGTAAAGTCTACTGTCTCCACTGAAAGAACGTTAGAAAAAAGAGATGAAACATCATACGATATCATTAACTTATTACCTGCTTTCAGATCCTCAATCTCTTCAACGAATTCAAAGATATCCTTGAGACTACGCTTTACAATTTCTTTATGGAAAGGCTTCAACCATTTTGCGATACGCAGAGTTTAAGGTGTCCAGAACTGGTCGGAGAGGTAATCCATCTTTATGCAGTTTCGGCAGACCATAAAGTCTAGGCGTAGCAGCTCCAGTAAGTTTGATCACTCTCATTACTGTAACCGTCAACATGATGTAACTTCTAGTATTACTTTGTACACCTCTACCAATATTCATTTATTTTCTTATTATCATGTAATTATTTATATTTATTGTTTATGACTGAAACACTCGACAAGAATCACTTCATTCACTCTACCAGTTACTGTGCAAATTACCTAAGAATAACTTGCTTCATGTTACCAATTCTAGTCAGTCTATTGATTATTTGCATCTTAATATCCGAAACTTATCATCTTCATGACTTACTTAAAATCTGTAAACATTGTTCACCAACCCGGCCACCACTTGATTGGTATTTTGATTGAATTGTAGGCGTATATACTAGTGTAGAGCCCAAGATGAAGACCTAATTGGAAAGGAATATATTTCTTCGCTCAATCAGTCTTTCTTCTACATACATGAAATGCAAACTGAGTACCATTGTCAGAAACTGTAATTTCCGGTATGCTAAACTGACTGAAATTCGGTGATTTGCGTATAGTCATCATAGTATTACTTCTCTTTATAATGGGTATTTTGAGCCAGTTAGAATAGGCATCAACGACTAAACGAAAGTCAAGATTCGTTTAAAGTCCTGGATAGTCGAAATGGTTTCTTGAACATCAACTATCTGCGAATGACCATAAAAATAATTGAGATTTTATCGGCATTTTCTCTGAATTCCCTCAACTATCACAGGCTTTTGATATCTCTATTGTTGAATGGGTAATACACAAAACTGTATGTGTTATCTCAAGATAAGACAAAATGCAGCTAACGTAATACGACACTTTGTAGTGCTGAAAGTACCGCCACTTTATGTGAAAGTATTATACATCCATACACAATAGATAGAGAGTTACGACACAGAGAGAACTTGTGTAATCGTGGATGCTTAATTGTACATTTTAGCCTACCTTTTTGGATATTTCAAACTACTTGTTGAAGCAATTTACAGGTTTTATAGATTCCTGGATCACTTTGACTTTAACAGGAGCAGAGCGGACAGATTCATATAAAATGTGGCGAACATTAATATCGACTGAGATTTTGACGATAACAGCATCTTCTAGTGATGACGATGAGGGATCAGTCGTAATAAGACATCAGCCTTTCCGAAGTTATTCTTAGGAATTTGCTGAATAGTGAAGGCGAGTCGAAGTAGCAAGGTGACCTACCTGTATCAGAGACTGTGTGTGTAAACAGGGATACCAGATTTTGAGCTAAAAAAAAGGCGAGTAACGGTTTATGGTCGGTATGTAGTGTGAAATGACGACCATAAAGCGTGCACTGAGACTTCGCGACTGCGAATACTGTCGCTAGTAATTCTCTCTACATACGTCTACAGTTTTGCTGAGCTAGTGTCAAGCCACAAGAGACATGGGCGATTGCTTTCTGGTTACCACCTGGATATCAACGTAATATCACTACACTGACTCCGTACTGTGAGACGTCAGCTGTGACTATAACATAGAGCTCAGGAGCATAATGTGACAATCAGATTAGAAGCTAACCTTTCTTTCAGTTTACCAAATAATTTCTAGCGTTCTGAACTCTAGTTCCATGACTGATTTTTTCGAAGAAGTACATTTGAAGGTCTACGGAGTTCATGCAATTTTAAGAAACAGGAGTAATAGTTATTCATGTCAAAAAAAGACTGGATCAAACAAACGTTTATTGCAGGTGGTATACATGTAATTGCTTTGATTTTTTCTGGATCAGGTTTGCGATTATGCTTGTAAAGCATTAATCCAAGATACTTAATTTGACTAAGATAAAATTCACATTTTGTGAACTTCAATGTAAATCCATGATCATCAGTACGATCTAACAGAGAGTTTATGTTCAAAGTGTGTTCACCAAGTGATTCAGAGACGATACCGATGATGTCATCGAGGTGTGTAAATGAAAATGAGAAATCTAACAGCATTGCTAACATAATATTCCCAGAGTTGATTTGGAACTAAACGGGTTTGTGAACCACAACAATAGGTATAGCTCAATCAAAATGATCATTTTTTTTGATGACTCTAGATTTCTCAAGTTGATCTGGTTCATTGTCCATGAAAGTGATAGCTGCATGTGAAACAGGACGTTTGGGTCGAAAAATAAGTCTACTGCTGTCCAACAGTGTGAGTGTGACTGTTGCTTCAGCATAACATCCTAGTTTGTCCTGAAACATTCGAAAAGTGGAAATATATCGTTTCTGGAAACTTGAAGACAAATAGCATTTAGTGTTCAAGCACATAGATTGAGTTGCTATCATGTATGTTCCCAACAAATTAAGCATAGCAATAGGAGACGACAAGCGTTTACCATCGGCAGTTTTGACTCTGAATTGGAAAGTACAACAGATTTCATTGATCAGACTAATGACTCCAGTAGATGCGCTAGGAACAGTATGATGGGAATTCTTTAAGGCAGGATCATCATGGTACGTTTCATTAAAAGTAACCTTTATAACCTACACCGTGTACATCTGAAAGCGAAGTGGAATAAGATTCACGAGAACAGTGAGATGAGATTGGTCTCCAGCATAGTTCAATTTGAAGCTAGAGAATATACCATTACTTTTAATAGAATTAACCTCGCCTGGTTAACTAGTTACTAGCCGGTCCTAAGCCCGGATAAAGAAAAAGGTTGGGCATAGGGCTACCAACCCTACAAAGTAAAACCAATCCAATCGTTAAACAAACTTCCAAGCACAAAGAAAATATAAAAAATGAAAACAAACTTATTCCTTGCTGGAATTCGCGAGACGAAATGACGCCGGTTGGTGAAAGCCTTCGGAAGCCAATTGGCCGATATGTCTCTTCTCTCTCTCTCTCTCTCTCGATGGAAGCGAAAGTAAGGATGGGGACATGGAATGTCTGCACCATGTATGAACCTAGCAAGGCTGTTCAGATTGCAAAAGAAATGAGAAGATATGGTATAGAAGTGCTAGGAATCTTCAGGAGAAGACGGAATGGAAGTGAACTCTTCAAAGTGTCAACTGGAGAGGAGAGTCAATAATCTACTCCGATATTGTCACCCAGACGACAACCACGAGCACACTGAGTTTTCGAGTGGCTATCATGATGTTTCCAACAGCATTGAAGGCTCTCATACAGTGGGAACCAATCTCTTCCTGCAGGATCATCACAGCAAAATTCAACTCAAAATAAGGAAAGTCACAATCATAAAATGCTACTCTACGCACCTAGGAATATACGCGGATCAGGAGAAGAAGGAGGAATTCTAAAGACAACTTCAATCAGTACTGGACAAGACCCCACTCCAGTTGGCGACATCAAAATTCTAATGGGTGCGGTGACATGAATGCCAAACTAGAAGTGGAAAACACAGGAAGGGAACTAACCATGGGTCGAGAAGCAGTCGGTGAAATGAATAAGAATGGAAAACTGTTTGCAGACTTCTGTGCGTTTAATGATTTGGTGATTGGAGACAGTGTGTACAAACACAAGCATATTCACAAAGCAACATGGATTTCGCCAGATGGATACAATAGAAAGCAGGTCAGCTTCATCTCAATGTGAAGAAAGTGGGGACGCAGCATACTTGACACAAGATCAGATCAAGAAGAGGAGCAGAAGTAGGTTCACACCACTCACTATCTAGGGCAAGGAACCTTCAAAATCAAGTTGAGAGCCTTCGCGGAATTTGGTGATGATGAAACACAGCTCAAGATCAACACCCAGAGCAGAAACTGAAGGACGAAACTTCGAAGGATATCTTCACGTAACCTATCAGGACAAAATGGAAGACATTAAGCAACATCCCCCAGGAAACCTGTGCGGAAGAACACTGGAACTCTTTGAAAGAGACGTGAAAGGAAACCTGCATACTGAAGTCGATGATGCCCTCTAGAAAGACGATGAAAGCTTCACGATCCAACAACCCAGCTCAGAGAACACAATACAACCAAGACCACCCACCTGAGCTACAAATATTCTCTACTATGTCGAAACCTGCATAACTTTGTTAAGAAGAAGCAAGACAAGGAATGGATCTCCAAGGATACATGGAGGCTGATAGAGAAGGGAGAGGAAGATGGTGAAGCAGAAGATGAACCAGAGTAAGGATGAACAACGAAAGGAGGAACTGAGCACAACCTATAAAACACTGGACAAAGAAGTGAAGAAAAGTGCGCGCAAAAGCAAAGGATACTTCTACGACACATTGGGAAGTGAAGCAGAACAGACTGCTGGTAGGAGAGACCTGACAACATTAAATCAAATAACCAGGCTACTATCTGGGAAGAGATCAACTCAGATGAAATCAATGAGAGATAGTGAAGGGAAAGTAGTTAGCAAAGAGGAGAAACAAGGGGTAGGATGGGCTGACCACTTTACAAAACTGTTGAGTCGACCACTACAACCACCACCTGCAACTCGTCCAGAAATACCACCAGCAGCGCAGCAAGAGAACTACCAGTGAACACAAGCCCTCCGTCAAAAGTTGAAGTCCTGAACTCCATAAAGTTGCTGAAATCCGGGAAATCAGCAGCACCAGATGGAGTTCCACCGAAAGCACTGAAAACAGATGCAGAGGCACAAGCAGACACGCTCACATCACCATTGCAGAAGGTTTGGAAAGCAAGGTACCTGCCGATTGGAAGGAGGGCTCCCTGGTCAAACTTCAAATGGAAGGGAGACCTAAGTCTTCGCAAGAAAGGAAAGAAAGGAATCATCCTCCTGTCCACTCCAAGCAAAATATTGAGTTGCATCATCCTGAAGAGATTAAAAGGTGCTCTAAATTCAAAGTTACAGCCGAACAGGCTGGCTGGTTTCAGGAAGAACAAGTTATGTGCGGATCAAGTTGCAACGCTACGCATCATCATAGAACAGAGCATAGAATCGAAGTCAACTCTCTACCTCAACTTCATCGATTTTGAAAAAGCCTTCGACAGCATCGTCCGAGAAGTAATTAGGCAACTGCTTCAACACAACGGTTTTAGTGACACAAACCTTTGTCATCCTTACTCAAAAACGTATGACGACGCCACATGCCAAGTGATTCACAATGGGAAGCTCAGTGATGCCTTTGGAGTGAAGATAGAAGTAAGACAAAACAAGGTTGCCACCTACTATCACCGATCATCCTCCTGATTGTGGTAGACTGGATTATGCAACAAACTGTGAGGAGCGAGAAAAGGGGCATACGCTGTTGACCGATGAAGAGACCCTAGACGATTTGGATTTCGCCAACGATGATGATTTATGTCTAATGTCTTATATGGCACAAACTCGAAGACCTACAGGCAAGAACTAACCAGTTGACAGAAGAAACAAGGCAGCGAAGATGGGACTTCAAATGAACGTAGAGAAGACAGAGGTGACGAAGATACCCAACCAACAACAATCTCCAATCACCATCAACGGGAGAAACCTAAGGGAAGGAGCTTCTTTCATATACCTAGGCAGTATCGTTTCAAATACAGGCGGCGGCGTAAATGAGGACGTCAAAGCTAGCCAGGATCGGAAAAGCAAGACAGGCCTTTATTAACCTGAAACCAGCGTGGAGATCTATTGCGCTCAGCATAAAGAACAAGATCCAGATTTTCAACACTAGGTCAGTCAAGTCAGTGTTTCCATGTGATGGTTGACAGACTTGGTGCGTCACGAAAAGCATTTACAGCAAACTACAGACATTCATCAACAGCTGTCTACGCTCGATAATGAAGATCAGATGGCCAGAAGGAATAAGTAACAAGGAACTCTGGGAACAAACTAACCAAGAACCTATCACCCAACAAATTTGCAGAAGGAAGTGGAGATGGGTTGGGCATACACTGAGAAGGGTGATTGAGGACATCACGCACCAGGCCCTCGAATGGAATCCAAAGGGGAAACGACGAATTGGGCGTCCCAGCTGAAGGTGACATGGAGGAGATCGTGTGAGGAAGAAATGAAAGCGTACGGGCAGACGTGGAGCCAGGTTGAAAAGACTGCAGAGAACAGAGTGCAATGGAGACGTGCTACAAAAGCCCTATGTTCCTCCAGGAACCCAAGGGACAAATAATAATAATAATTTAATGGAATTGTGTCAGTCTTTGGATTTTCGTGATTTAGTTTGATATCGACAGGTCATACGAATGAGTCTTCTGCAGAGTTCATCGTTATGACCTTTTGTATGGCACTTTTCTTACACATGTGTTGCTCTCCACAGTTCCGACTAACGTATAGTAACTTTTCATTTACCTCTTGGTTTAGGAATTTTCATCCACCTCTGCTCAATCTCTCAACGGTGCACAATCTCTCTTCTTGTGCAACAAATCTTAGAATATAAGCAAGATAACGAAGCATTGAATCTGCCATCACAACGTTGAAGTTATAAAGATATCTACCCTAACCTGAGTATAGCAAATAACTGGGCACTCTATCCCGTAGTTATTGAAGAAAACTTATAGACTAGCAAAGGAAGTTATTGTAATCCCTTAACTGGTATCTAATATCTCTCTCTTATTATTCAGCTTGTTAATTATTTGCCGTACATTACAATCGTCATTATATCTCTAATAATTTTCGCCTGCTTTTCTGAGAACTAGTGTCAGTAGCGTTGGTAGTAACAGAAGTCGGAGTGCGAAAAGACTAACCATATAAGATCCATCGTCCAAAGCCAAGAGTTCCACCAACAATTGTTGTCCATCCCTTAAGCTATCCGGTTTCATGACTGATGTCAACTGTGATGTGAATAAATTCAAGTATGATATTCTGTAAATCTCGAAAGCAGTTGGAAATATACAGAGTAAGATGGATCCACGGCAATGGAGCTCCACTGCCTTGCGGATTGGACTTTAAGTCAAAAGCTAGGGGAGTGGTCTCCTAAAACAACCACCTGTTTCGGTCTGGGTGCCCGTGAAGAATCTCTGGCCCCACACAAAATATGAACGTACAGTAAAGAATGAGGATTTCGAAGCACCTACCCGACTTTCCTGCA